GGTGACACCTGAAGACTGACTGAAAGAGATATATTATGCTAATCAATTTATAAAAAACAGGTATGGAAAATTATCTTAAATATATAGTAAGTTTTAGGAAATTTAGCGTTCACATTACATAAAAAAATAAGCAAAGAATAAAAATTATTTTTATGACAGAGATGAAACCAATGAACGGAGATCACTGATTCCAGGTTCTAGATTAATTACGAAAGGTTGAAGAGTGTTTAGATTAGCAATCCAATAAGCTTCATTTATTTCTCTATCTGCTTTAGTTTTGAATCCTGTTTCAATGCCGATTAGAGTAACATCGTTAATGGAATGACCGAGTTGGTTAAAGTGTTGAGCAACAGGGAGATTGTTTTTGGTGTTAATAGAATATTTATGGTTGTTGAAACGTTCTCTAAGAGTTATTTGTGTATGACCTACACATTGGTAATTGCATTTTTTTACGCTGTATAAGGTAAATGTTTTTATTGTTTTACAAGTGATTTCTTTGGATATTTTAAAGTTTCTTTGATTGTGGATGTCAGAAAATGATTCAGTGGTTTTTATGAACTTGCAGGTTTGACAACGGGCTTTATTAGATGGACGACAACCATTTTTGGGTGGGATGTAATTCACTTTTGTGTGAACAAGGATATCTTTTAGAGTTCTGCTTTTTCGGAAGGAGACAACGGGAACTTCAGTTATGCTGTGTGTTTAAAACGCCAGTTAGTGACAATAATTATAGGTTGAATGAATCAATAATATCTAATTATAGTATGTAATTACAGATTCTCATGACGTAAAGCCAGTTATTAACAATAATATGTCTGTATTATAGGGTTTTTATTCATTTATATCAAGAATTTTTGAACCTACGTGTTTTTCTAACATCATGAATTGACCATCATTATACATTCAGTTCGCCATATAGCATACGAAAAAATTTCTAAACGTTTATTTCACTATATAGGGTGTTATAGAGGATAATTCATCAGAGTAGTATAGTATCATCTCATCTGTTTATAACATCATTGTGGTAAGCATGTTTGCAAATCTCATTCATCAAGTGTTCTCTGTGATGACTGCTTATAACGCCCTATTTTATTTAAACCATGTTTCAATCCTGAGATTAATGTAATGGTAATTTTATGCTGGGGTCCGTTTCTACCCCAGGCGTGCCATAATGTGACTTTTCAAAGTTGTGCTGTTGAGGGTTAAGTACTGATTCAAACTTCGTTACTGATTGATGATGTTGTTACAGCACATTATGTCTCTAGGGAAGTATCCTTTCGTACGTCGCTATAGCTTGATGACATTGTCACAGCTCATTATGTTTTTAGGGAATTATTATTTTAAACGCTGCTACTAATTGATGGTTGTTGCAGCTCACTATGTCTATGCAAGTATTCTTTCAAACGTTGCTACTGATTGATGACATTGTTACAGCTCACTGTGTCTATGCAAGTATTCTTTCAAACGTTGCTACTGATTGATGACATTGTTACAGCTCACTGTGTCTATGCAAGTATTCTTTCAAACGTTGCTACTGATTGATGACATTGTTACAGCTCACTGTGTCTATGCAAGTATTCTTTCAAACGTTGCTACTGATTGATGACATAGTCACAGCTCACTGTGTTTCTAGGAGAACATTCCTCCAATTGTCGCTACTGATTGATGACATTGTTACAGCTCACTGTGTCTATGCAAGTATTCTTTCAAACGTTGCTACTGATTGATGACATTGTTACAGCTCACTGTGTTTCTAGGAGAACATTCCTCCAATTGTCGCTACTGATTGATGACATTGTTACAGCTCACTGTGTTTCTAGGGGAGTATTCCTTCAGTTGTCGCTACTGATTGATGACATAGTCACAGCTCACTGTGTTTCTAGGGGAGTATTCCTTCAATTGTAGCTACTGATTGACGACATAGTCAGAGCTCACTGTGTTTCTAGGGAAGTATTCCTTCAATTGTCGCTACTTAGTTTATGGAATTTTTACAGTTCGCTGTGTGTGTAAGGAAGTACTCTCTCAAACTCTTTACTGATTTTACAGTATTGTTACTGTTGCTTATGTCTGTATGAAAGTATTCCTTTAAACATATCTGGTGATTTCATAGCATTTTTATTGATGACTTCATCTTTATAGCAATTTTCCTTCAAACATCATTACGGATATTCTAGTATTGACTCTGTCTGTAGTGAATTATCCTTCAAACATCATTACGGATATTCTAGTATTGACTATGTCTGTAGTGAATTATCCTTCAAACATCATTATGGATATTCTAGTATTGACTCTGTCTGTAGTGAATTATCCTTCAAACATAATTACGGATATTCTAGTATTGACTATGTCGTAGTCAATTATCCTTCATACATCATTACGGATATTCTAGTATTCACTCTATCTCTAGTGAATTATCCTTCAAACATAATTACGGATATTCTAGTATTGACTATGTCTGTTGTGAATTATCCTTCAAACATAATTATGGATATTCTAGTATTGACTATGTCTGTAGTGAATTATCATTCAAACATCATTACGGATATTCTAGTATTGACTCTGTCTGTAGTGAATTATCCTTCAAACATCATTACGGATATTCTAGTATTGACTATGTCTGTAGTGAATTATCCTTCAAACATAATTACGGATATTCTAGTATTGACTGTCTGTAGTGAATTATCCTTCAAACATCATTACGGATATTCTAGTATTGACTCTGTCTGTAGTGAATTATCCTTCAAACATCATTACGGATATTCTAGTATTGACTCTGTCTGTAGTGAATTATCCCTCAAACATAATTACGGATATTCTAGTATTGACTATGTCGTAGTGAATTATCCTTCAAACATCATTACGGATATTCTAGTATTGACTATGTCTGTAGTGAATTATCATTCAAACATCATTACGGATATTCTAGTATTGACTCTGTCTGTAGTGAATTATCCTTCAAACATCATTACGGATATTCTAGTATTGACTATGTCTGTTGTGAATTATCCTTCAAACATAATTATGGATATTCTAGTATTGACTATGTCTGTAGTGAATTATCCTTTCAAACTTCACAGTTATTTTTATAACATTCTTACTGCTGAAGGGAAGTATTGTTTTAAACACCACAGTAGTTATATTGGTACTCTAGATTCGGAAGTAAACGGGCACCACCCGAGGGCATAATGGGGCGGAACAGTTAATTAACCATAACAGCCAATTATAATATAATTAAAGATTAAATAAATAACAGGTAATAATGCCAATTATTGACAATAATTGGAGATAATTACAGTTTAAAACACCAGTTAGTGACAATAATTATAGGTTGAATGAATCAATAATAT